AAGAAGAAGAAGAAGAAGAAGAAGAAGAAGAAGAAGAAGAAGAAGAAAAAGGCAAAGAAGAAGAAACCCAAGTCAATGGCAAAGAAAATGTTTTCTACAAAATCATAGAAGAAAGCTTCCCTAATCTAAAGAATGAGGTACCTATGAAGATACAAGAAGCATACAAAACATCAAATAGAAAGGATCAAAAGAAGAAATTCCCCATGAGACATAATAATCAAACCACTAAATATACATGTGACAGTTTGAATGTCATTGGCCCCCATAAGCTCATAGGGAGTGGCACTATTAAGAGGCATGGCTTTGAGTAGGTGTGGCCTTGTTGAAGAAAGTGTGTCACTGTGTAGGTGGGCTTTGAGGGCTCCTTCATTCAAGATATGCTCAGTGTGATACATGGTTAACTTCCTGTTGCTTGTGAATCAAAATATAGAATTCTCAACTCCTTTTCCAGCACCATGTCTGCCTATACACCACCAGGCCCCACCATGATGATAATGGAATAAACCTCTCAATTGTAAGACACCCTAATTAAATGTTTTTCTTTATAAAAGTTGCTGTGATCATGACTCTCTTCGTAGTAATAAAAACCTTAACTAAGACAGTAAAGAACAAAAAAAAAGGTTATTAAAGCCTCTAAGAGAAAAAGGCTATGCAGCAAAGGCAGGCCCATTATAATAGTACCTGACTGCTAAATGGAGACTCTAAAAGCAAGAAGGATCTAGACATCTATTCTACAAGTTCTAATATGCAAACTCTAAGAGATCACAGATACCAGCCCAGACTACTATACCCAGCAAAACTACCAACCACAATAGCCAAAGAAAGAAAAATGTGTTAAAATTAAATTTAATCAGTATCTAACTACAAATCCACCTCTACAGAAGGTGCTAAAAGGAAATTTTTAATCTGATATTATTAAGCACACCAAGAAAACAGAAGGAATAAATAAACCCAGATTTGCAAATCAAAGTGGAGAACTTACACCATAACAACAAAATATCAACAATTAATATATTGTTTTGTATAATATATTTTGTGTGTGTATATATATATATATCCTGAACAAAACTCAACTCCAGGTGGTACAAAGACCTCAACATAAGGCCATATTTTCGAACTTTATCAAAGATAAAGTCAGGAATAGCCTTGAAGTCACTGGCACAGGAAAAGACTTTCTGAACAGGACACTGATAGCACAGGCATTAAGAACAACAATTAATAAATAGGACCTCATGAAACTGAAGAACTTCTGTACCTCAAAGGACAGCATCATCCAGACACAGCAGCAGTCTACAGAATGGGTAAAGAGCTTTACCAGCTACACATCTGATAGACAGCTAATATCTAAAATATATAAAGAACTAAAATAACTGAACATCAAGAAAGCAAATAACCCAATTTAAAAATGGGGTATAAACAGAGAATTCTCAAAAGATGAAACACAAACTGCTGAGAAACACTTAAAGAAATGTTCGACTTTCTTAGCCATCGGGGAAATGCAAATTAAAACTACCATGTGATTCCACCTTACACTAGTCACAATGTCCAAAATCGATAAAACAATGACAGCATATGGTGGCAAGGGTGTGGGGATAGGGGAACGCTCACCTATTGTTATTGGAACAGCGAGTTTGTACAGCCACCATGGACATCAGTACCGTGGTTCCTCAGGGAGATGGGAATAGCTAGAACTCAAGATCCAGCTATACCACTGTTGGGCAGATACCCAAAGGACTCTACATCTACTACAGAGACATTTGCTCAGCTATGCTCATTGCTGCTCTATTTATAATAGTCAGAAATTGGAAACAACTTAGATGTACATCAAGAGATAAATGAAAGTATGGTAGATTTTTATAATGGAATATTACTCAGATGTTAATAAAAACAAAAAATATACTGAATCATGAACTTCAAAGGTAAATAAGTGGAGCTAGAAAAAAAATCATCATGCGTGAGGTAACCCAGACCCAACAAGACAAATATAAATGCATTTTTTGAATGTGGATGCTCAGTTCTTTAAGCCTTCACTGGGAATGCTCCAATTGGCATACCCACAGAGATTCGGTATAGAGGAAGGACTAGGGGAGGGAAGGATCTCCCAAGGAAGAGGAAATAGACTAGATGGATGGTTATTGAAAGACATGGGGAGGAGATTAGAATGGAAGGAAGGGAATACGGGAGAGACAGACAACACTAAGGGCCATTTAAGGGGTCATATAGAAACCTACTGCAGTAAAGTTTCTTAAAATATATGTACATATGAAATAACCCTAAATGGAATCCCAAATAATAGAGGTTGGAGAGACAAAGTCCTAACAAGACATCTCTTGCTATCAACTGAGGCCTCCATTGCCAGCACTGAAACTCAACTGTTAGACAAAGGACGCCATGGAGACCCACAAATAATTCAGACCATGACTACTGATTGTTCTTCACAGACTGAAGGTAAGGCCCTATTGCTGAAGGCAGTACCTACACATCTCACTGAACACAGAGAAGTTGAGCTGGTGCTTAATTTGAGCCTTCACCTATACTGACTAGTGTTCATGGCACTGGAAGGTACTCTACGTACTACCAGAGGGGAGGTAAATACCAACCAAGCTACAAACCCTTCAGTCTGCAATGGCAACCTCTCTGCATGATATGTCAACACAGTAGTGGCACCAATGTTTTAAGAGTAACCAATCACCATGTGATTGGATTTAAGGCCCACTCCATGAGATGGAGCCCATCCCTGACACTACTCTGGTAGCCAAGGACCTGAGACTAGATAGTTTGTTGGCCTAGGGGGACAAACAATCACTGTGTTCTGCTAAAGAAATGTAGCTATAAAATGACTCCTAATGACATTCTGCTATATTCATAGTTCAATGCCTTGCTTGGTCATCATCAGAACAGCTTCTTTCTGCAGTAGATGGGAACAAACAGTGACCCACAGCCAGACAGTGGGCAGAAAGTGAGAAACCTTGGAACACTCAGTCCTAAATGAGATGTCTTTATCAAACCCTACCCCTCAGTGCTCCCCTTAGGGAACTGTGTAGAAGAGGGGGTGAATGACTGTAAGAGCCAGAGGGTATGGATAGCTCCAAGAAAACAGTGCCTTCCAGAAACAGCAGGACTGGTGCACACAGGAACCCACAGAGACTGTGGTAATGTGCAGAGGGCCGACATAGGTCCAAGCCAGATCGGTACAGTGCTGGGAGGGGAAGTGAACAGGAACCTCCATCCCTAATCAGAAGCTGTCTCCAAGTATCAACCACTCTAAGTTTCTTCCAATGGAATCTTCTGGATTCACAAACCACACTTAAAAAGATGGCTGCCACAAAGTGAACTCAGCGGCATTTGGGAGATGCTTCGTCTCATAATGCTCTGCTTGGGCATTTATTACCTTATGGGTGTTCTACTTATAGATTATGGTTTCTGATTTTACATTTTAACAGACGTTTGTGTGCGCATGTGTGTGTTTCTCTGTGTGTATGTGTTTCCTGTGTTCTTTTTTTTCTGTTTGCTGGTTGATTTGTTTTCTTCTGGTTTGATTTCTTTTAATATACCTGTTTTAATATGCCTCTAAAGAGAGAGAGAGAAAGAAGGCATAGACTTGGATGGATAGGGAAGGGGGGAGGATCTGGGAGGAGATAAGGGAGAGGAAACCTTAATATATTGTGTTTTCACAATATTTTGTATTTTTACTATTTTATTTAGGAAATATTGTCGATAGGAAAGAAAATACTAAGGGAAGGCAGGCCTGCCCCTAGCATAGCCAACACAGTAAAGGGAGAAGTTGAGGGTTGGTTACATCTATGTTGTCATCCTTGGCTCCACCCCATACCAAGGGCCTGGGACGCATGTGTAGTGAGACCCGTTTATTTCTTATTATTCCAAGCTCCACCCAACCCTCTGGAAGACATATAATGTACATGCCCTGGTTCAATTTGCAATCACCCCACTTACTACGTATTCATGAATGCTCAGAGTTGCAGTCATATTCAGCAGAAACTATACTTTAGTTGTTAAATTTTCTTTCTTTTTCCAAGTTGGTGACATTTGGTATGGTGTTTTCTTCTAAAGCTGGGCAGTAAGTATTACAGAGCTTCAGCTCCCAATCAACCACCTATTCCGAGGGGAAAACAATATGGTGTGTTATAGTCAACACATTGCATGATACTCAATACTTTATTACATACATACAATACATATATAAAATACACTTTATGTTGGGTCCTTTTGCCCCCAAAGAACTCTCTAGTAGAGTGTTCTGAGTATATTTAAGTTGGTCTAGGCTATGCTAGATTAGGAAGGTGTATTAAATGCATTTTTAACTTAGAATATTTTCAATTTAGAATAAATTTACAGAGACCATTATCAGTTTAGAAACAGTTTCCCATTGGTTCTGCTCCTCTGGGGAACTCTAATTATCACCAGACCACAAGCAAAATAGTATGCACTAAAAGTAGGAACCGGATTGCTCAAGTCTAAGGGTGGAACAGCTCTCCAGTCAATACAGGGCCAGATTCATCGACTGTCTGACTCTTCTATTCCCATTCAGGTCATGGGGGCATGGAGTGTACCTCTCTGGTGTGTAGTGGGTATTCGCTCTGCCCATGTTTTGTGGAGGTCCATGATCATCGTCATGCAGCTGCAGCGCTGGCTGCTATGCTGGTGGGTGAGTATGAAGAGGGCAAAGATTCCAGGCTCCTGCGACTTGTTAAAGATTAATCCTGTTACATATGCCAAGGAGAAAGAATAGCTGTTGAACATTCACTCAGTAACTGCCTTGGATGGCAAAGGAAGTTACCTCCTTGTGGTGCTAGTGTGTAACCACCAGGCTCTCCTCCCCTGGGTGCCTCACCCCTGGGGGAATCTCTGACCAGCTACGCTACCAACTTTCTCTGCTTGGACATACAGCCTGTACCAGCCTAAACCTATATTCCTGTGCAGCCTATACCACAGGAGCTGGACATCGAACTAGTTAGACACAAGTTACCAACGAAAACAACCAGGGAATTTTGCAAACTAAAAACCTGGCAGGAATAACAGTAATAACAGTCTTTTTTCTGGTTTAACCCAGTGCTTAGACTTGAGCCTGAGACTTATACTTAAAAAGAGCTTTTTTTCTGTCTTGCAATGTGTTTTGCTAAAAGAAAAAAATTAATGACTTTTTAAGCATACATGAAAAATAAACTTCTCAAGAGTTATTGAGAGCTCAAAATACTAAAATTCCAAGTTCTCTGTGCTGATGAAATAGAGCTATTTTTCCTATCACCCTTCAAGTTTGTACTGCAAGAAAAAGATACAGTATCTTACATTGTGAAGCTATGAGAACTTTGTTGGCAAGGATTCTTTGATGCAGATAATTCCACAACATAAATCAAGGCTTGTTAAACACACAAGAAACGGAAAGGCAATACAAGTCATTTTACAATTTGCTAGACACAGTAGTAAGAAAAACAGGAAGTGGGTGTTTATTAGCAGTCCCAAATATACCAGCCAAAATACAACTCCCCATGGAGTCCGAGGTATTCAAAATAGAGCAGAGAACAGAATTCCTGAGATTATAAAAGGGTAATTAATCACAAGCAGTATTCACAGATCAGTGATTTGGAAACTACCTTTTTACTGAAGATCTGAATCAAGAGTAAACTTCAAAGCAAAATGCACAGATCTCAGATTTACTGAATCTGGTCGACAAACCCTTCCAAAATGTCACTTTAAACCCATCTGACAGTTCGTCTTTATTACATAATAACTATGCGTGCAATGCATTAAATAGTCATCTTTTACTTGACTTGGTGAGCACATAAATGCCTCCCCACATCAGCCATTGGCATTAGAAACACTACCTCTCTTGCTGCTGTTTAGTACTTAGAATTCATAATCAGGTATATTTGTCTAAGGGTGTTTCATAGGAACATGAGGTCTGACACCAGAAAACCATGTTCACAAACTACTTGGACATCTCCTGTAACCTGATGGGACTAAAGCTCTTGTATTTAGTGAGCCCTTTAAATATATACCCCAACTACTCTGGTTTGGAAGTTAGGGTCTTAATGTTTTAATAGCAATGGTTTGAAGTATCTACCTAGAGAGGTTAAGAGCACTTGCTGCTCTTGCAGAAGACCCTACATGACAGCTCACATGGAGGAGAGCCCACTGCCTGCTAACTGCAGTTCAGGGGAACCAGCGCCCTCTTCTGGCCTCCAAGGGCACTAGGCACACATATGGTACACATTTATATAGGCAGATAAAAGCACTCATACTCATAAGGTAAAAATAAATAAATCATTAAAAATACATATCTAGCCGGGCAGTGGTGGCACACGCCTTTAATCCCAGGACTTGGGAAACAGGCAGATCTCTGTGAGTTTGAGGCCAGCCTGATCTACAGAGTTCAGGACAGCCAAGGTTGCACAGATAAGCCCTGTCTCGAAAAACAAAACAAAACAAAATATCTAAAATATATGATGCATGAATTTCATATAATTTTCATGACTAATGTAAAAGAGTTAAATGCAAATCTTTATCGACTTTCAGGAACTATTTACTTCTACCTGGTGAAGCTGTGGAATCAGATGATTTAGAGTTTTAAGAACTCAAGAATTCCTAGGGATAAGACAACTTGGAAAAGCGTCTGTTGGTTCCTCCTTATGAACTAAAGAAATCGGAGCTTTGTTCCCGTTGCCCCAAGTACTTACCAGGGTGAATAAAATGACCTAACTGTTTGTGTGGCATCGTAAGGTCCTCTGGCTGAAACCACTTAGGAAAGCCAACAAATCAATATATTAAATTATTTACTCCTGTCAATAGAAGTAATGGGAAGGTATGTGTATGGTGGATTGGAAAGCCGTTCATGCATCCCACATAAACGTGTGTGGTCCTATGAGTTTGGACTAAAGAAGAGAAGGAGGCCGGGTCCTTGAAAGCAGCTCACCACAGGAAGGGAATTAATGACAGAAATCACAAATTAGCTTGTGAGCGCCAAACTGAAGCAACTTCTTCCTTCCCTACTATCTGAAGACCAATCTCACAAGAAAAAGAAAAAGGCAAGCTAGCTGTCCATTGGCCTTCTTGTTTGGGACCAGCCAGCAGGCAGAGACAGAGGAGAAGAGAAGAAATGGGGAGGAAGGAAAAGGAGAGGACTGTGCTGGCCCTCACTCTCCCTTCTCTGCTCCGAGGAGCAACAGGTGGTGGTGTTGACACAAACTGTCTCCTCCTCCCGGGTGAATGGAAGGACGCACAGCGTCCCCTGTGACTAAGTCCTGGACAACGGAATGTGGCAGAAGCATTGGCTTCTGCTGCTGGGCTGGCTCTAAAACATACCAATCAGTTCTCCTTCTTGCTTCCCAGCTGATGACCTCTGGGAGACCCCAGGAGACAGTGGAGTCCTCCGGGGAGGAAGGGAAGTTCTGCAGAAGACCCCTCCTGTGCACCCGGTGGACTGCCTGAAGGGAAAAAGGTTTCCAGTGTGCCGGCTACACCCTCATGTGCCCTGTCATGTCTCATACACACTAGACAAGACAGAGTCCTTCAGATCGGTCTATTCAGTCAATCAGCTCTGGCTTCTGAAGCATCTGGGGAAGTTGGGGAGAAAAGTCTTTCTTGTTCCTCCCTTATTTTCCTGGCAAACCAAGTTTCCTGCTGACCAGCTCAGCCAGTGGTGGCAGCCAGAGCCATGGCTTCCTCTTGGAACTTCTAAAATACAGAAGGTCACAGATGTTTTGTGCAGGTCACACCCTGACAATTAGCTCCGCATTGGCGGGGAGGAGGGTGCAAAGTCTGTTTTTACTTGGTTTTAAACTATTATTATTACTATTAATTGATGCTGCCGCTGTTGTTTTTCTGTTTTCTGCTTTTCTCTCCTCCCCTTTTTCTTCTTCTTCTTCTCAGAGTGGTGTTGAGCTCCAGTTCTCCACCGATCCCAAAATCTTCATCAGATATAGTGCATCCAAAGGGAGCAAGCCAAACCCAAGGTCTAGTTGTGCTGCTGCCCTTCGCAGACACTCTAGCTGGTCCCCATGTTGATCAGCACGCAGAAACACTTGTCCCGTAACGGAGATGAATTAAGCAGAAGTAGCAACCCTGAAGATATTCTAGGGCTTGGAACAAATGCAGGCGCCCCCAGGAACCTGCTCTGAGAAAGTTGTAATGGGCAGGAAAATGTCCCCAGTGACGCACTGGAGTACACACAGCACCTGGCATTTCCTGTCAAAATGATCCAAGCCTAAAAAAGGAGTTCATGCATATGGACTGAAAAAAATATTTTCCGAAAAAAGAATATTTTTGAAACTACTTTCCTTAAAGGAATACAGCCTTTGTGTATTTAATCATACTAAAGCTACCAACCACACAAGACTGTTGGGCTCTAAGTCTTACCACAGACATGCGAGGATGGTCCGCACGGGGTTCTGAAAACAAAAATTATGAGAGCAATATTTTATAAATGAAACTTTATTTATTTGGTAAGGCGATTTCACACAAAGGTCTCAAATTTCTGGCCCCTCTTCTAAGACCAAAAGATTGAGAAATGTGGGCCCACAGGTATATGAACTTGAGTCTCCCTCTGTCTGTAATAACCCGAGGGAATGTTGCCTGCTTTAAGCCCACTGTGACCACTCTGCTTGCTTAACGATTACCCGCCTGTCTTAAAGCGTACTGGACGACTCCTTCAGCAGTTTGTGTATCAGTTTGTGCCAGCATGTTCATTGTGCGTGACTTTCTAAGTCTGAACTACCCCTTCCTGAGAAGAGACCAGCATTTGGAAGCGCTGAATCTCAGATGTAGCGACAGAGTCTAGCTGAGGTTTTTTGTTGTTGTTTTAACTAAAATTTTGACACTGTTAGGAGCAAATGAGAGGGACATGTGTAGGGGCAGGAAAAGACCCTCTTTCATTTTGAGTGGTTCTTTCTGCCGGACCTTGGGAAGAATGGACAGAGGAGAGTAAGTTTTGCTGCCCTAGGTCACTGATGTAAATAGCCTCAACAGCGTGGCAGTTAGTGGAGCTAACTTTGTCAAGGGAAGGGACTGAAGCTACACCCAGTAACACTCGTAAGATGCCTGTGATCCTCTCTGGGCTTGTGAGTATGGCTGAGCCGTGTAACTGAATATCACCCCTTTAAGTCTGGACAAAAGTTGGCTCCTGTCACTGTTGCCGTACGTCCTCTATTAAACATGCATCCAGCAAAAGCACATTTGCAAGAGGCACTGTGAATTTGTGGCCCTGGCCTGGCCTCCATTGTCATTGTCCCTGAATCTGAGATTGACAGTTTAAAAGTTTGTATTATTTTCTTCGTTCTTGTTTGCCCTGCCTTCATCTTTGTCAGCAAGTGGTCTTTATCGTCTCAGTGCAGTGCGTCAAAGTGTGAGGATTCTTATTTGTTAATTGATAACTGCTTTAGTACACAATACGGGAACGGGAACAGGGCAAGAATCCCGTTCTCTGGCCTCAGCTTGAACTATAACGACGCTGGGTAAATATCTTTCATAGAAATAATTGAAAAGCATGAAAGTCTAGCGGCCTGTTATAATGAGAAGGGCACACATCTGGGGGCGTGGAGAGTACTTCCTTTTCTCACTGGGAAATCTCAAGCACAAGAGTTAAAAGCTTCCATTCGTCCTCACATACCTCCACGACACAGAATATTTCTGAGCTCTAATTGGCCCCTAACAGCATCAAAATTTAGTTAAAA